CCATCGACACATCCCAAGTCCAAGTCAAGAGTGTTCCCCCCCCCCCCTCTCCCCCTCTCGACATATATATATATATATTGAACCAAGGAGTTTGCAAACTAGAGGCTTTGTTTGCAAACCAGCTTGTTTGTTGTAATTTACAGAAGCCAGATGTTGGAGTAAGTAAATAGTTTGTTGCAGAAGCCAGATGTTAAAGTAAGCAATGACAACAAGAAGACAAGAAGCAACAGCAATAGTAGACCAAGAAAACTATTATATGTATGTGTTAATGCTAACAAGTGGAAATGTTTCAAAAGTGGCTGTCCGAAATCATCCCCTAGCCTTAGATTGATAGCATTACTATTGGATTCCACTTTATACCCAGTGACCACGGCTTTTGTTGCAGCGTTAGGAGGCCTTTGACTAATTTGACACATTACCTTCCTGCTGTCTATAGGAAAAAGGAACACTCCCAGTTTAATGTTTCATGTACTGAACTTGGCCTCCCAGCACCCTGAAGCCTTGGCCATTTGGCAGCTCCAAAATCTCCTGGCTAGGCCTCCAAGCTTACTGAGCAGTACTTGTCCAAATGCACTGCCGACTTCTTGGAACTTCAGCTGGCCGCCAAGAAGGCGCTCCAGTCAGGCAGACTCAATACCCGGTGTTGCACGGATGCTTTTTCGTGCGTTGACGCACGCGGATTTATGGTCCGTGAGCTGCTATTTGGGGGCTTGCGCGCTGGTACTTTGAGGGGGTAGTGCTACGCATTCAGTTCGGGTGGCTTGACACTTTTTCAATGTCATGTACTCATGGACCTGACAGATCCAATCTAGTACTTGGACTGTTGCGGGTCGTTTGGGATTTCTTGTGGGCCGCTCATGTGCCATTTGTAGCCGCCACGAATCGAATCTTCACCTCGCTTGACGGTAGCATTGATGGCCGTGGGTTCACACCAGGTCGGTTTAAAACCGGCTGGTTGGTTAGCTAGACTAACTTGAGGGCATAAGCGCCGGGAGAGGGGTGTACTCTCCAGGTGTAGCAGGTGGATCAAGAATGTCTAAGTGCACTCCTTGCCTGCAGGTAACAAGGCAGCCCGCGCTGCCCGCAAAGCCATGAAGGAAGTGGCCCAGCAGGCACGCCTTGGGACCGGCTTGGATTAGCAAACAGCACCGACAACTGTCCTTCCATCGCTTCCATGGCTTGTATGGCCGGAGCAAGCGAGCAATCCACCGGTTCTTTCTCAGGTTGCCCTCCTGGCTGAGATGCTAGTGGATGGTGGCCTGGCGCGGCACGCTTTGCAGCGCGCCGCCGCGCAGCTCGCCCAGCGCGGGGCCACCACTGCGGAGGAGGGCGGGTAGGGTGGAGGATGGAGCCACCCACAGCTGTGACAGTGATGATGTAGAAATCCCAGACCCAGACTCCATGTGATATGCAGTTGTTGCCCACACTTGGAGATTGGTTTCAAGGGCAATGCCGTGGGCACACATTCCATAGATCTCAAGGGTTGGAGACTCTTTCCAGGTCATGTTATTCATATTCTGGAGCAAGTGTCTTCAAACCATCAGTTTGAAGATGTTTAGATTTTCCTTCTTAAGCAGTTGATCTGGATTGACATGGACATATCTCACGTCATTGCTTCTCTATATAAGTGGCTCGTGAAAAACCTCATCGAGCCGCACCTGGTTTCTCGAGCTGCACCTGGTTTCGCTGATGCCAAGCCGTAGGATTTGGAGGAAGTGTCGGATGAACCGTCGAGCTCCCACAATATGACCTCCAACGCCGTGGAACTCTTCCAACTGCTTCACGCTCAGAGGCCGGGTCTCGGGGCGGATCGGACGGAACGAACGCGGATCGCACCGCACCGGTCGGCCGGCCGAGCGATTGGTGTCGTGTCGTGTCGGAAAAGGTGTTCAGACCTTCAGACTTTCAGAGACTGAGAAGTGGAAGCTAGTAGAAACAAGTGCATCGCTACTAGTAACAAGTGCCTTACTAGTAGTAACAAGGTTCGCTACTAGGAACAAGTGCCTTACTACTAGTAACAATAAGAATTTAATTAGAATTGTAATTACTAGCAAAGGAATCTACTAGGACCTTTTCAGACCTTCAGAAACGTAGATCAATCTTGGTGCGGCCACGTAGCACGGCTCTCCAAGCACCGACCACGACAGCTCCGACTAGACATGTGATTTGAAGACCGGTCTGGGTGTGTGTTCTTTTACTATGGAGATCCACGGGCCCTGGGTGGGTAGACTGGTCTATCTCCCTTCTTCCACGGGGTCGAACTGGGAGGTCTCCCTATTTAAATACACACCCACATATGGTGTTGGACTTTGTGGGAAGTTTGTGCCCTGTCTTTCCAGAACCTCGCGTCATGTCATGTGTCCTGTAGAACGGACAATACAGTTCCTTGCAATAAACTTCATGTCGTTACAGTTGATCTTCAGTTGTTTTTTTCGCTGCTGTGCAAGCCCCCCACGTCTCTGAAAAGGTAAGTCCATCATGCTTGGATAAAAGCTTATCAGCCGATCAAACACGAATACCATCCAATGATACATCCCAACACTTACATACTATGAAGTCAGGTGAAATCTGGACACACACACAACCCCCTGGCCCAGCGTCTATGGTGCCGTCATCTCCGACCTGCGCTCTCTCCGGCAGGTCGGCCAGCGCACCGAGCACCGCCTTGGAGCTGTTGGCGTCGGAGGAGTTTCACCGGGCCTTGCAGATGGACCTGCTGGCCAACCTGAGGCCGAAAGCCGAAAGCCGGCGTAGCAGTGCTTACATTGGGATCAAACGGTCAACACGGTGGTGTTCTGACAAGCATGTAAGTGGCCTGATATAGCGCACATGGAGAAAGCAGTAAGACATTTAAGGCTTAGTTTGTGCCTACCGGCAGCAGTGTATGGGCAAAATCGGGTCGGCTCAAGCATGACGTCAGGAAAACTTCACCGGGCAACGTGTCCTGTTCACTTGTGGGAATTCCACCTTAAGGATTCGATTCTCGACTCACGGTATGACAGGATACCATACTCGACTCAGGTGCGAATTTCGCTGAGAGGTTTTTGACATGGACTCGGACGGTCAAGCGAGTGCAACGGCTCAACCGCAAAAATGCCGGAACATGCTGTCGTCTCAGAACTGTGGATGTCACAAAGCATTAGTTCTCCCACGAGAGGAAGGACAGGTAATCGTGTTCTTCCCTTTTTGGGGTCATCCTGAAGTGGAGATAGATAGCTAGCGATAGATGAAAGGAGATGGAACATGTCTATGTTTCTTTCAGTTCCTGAGAATTGAAGCCCAACCACAAGACCAAGCTACACCGCCTGCCGGTTCTGAGGCTCCGTATGCCGCCAGTTCTGCCGAAAGCCTTGGCGGCTTGGCGGCTCTTTGAGGACTGCGTGGGGGTTGTCTTGCCCGGGTGCGTGCTTTGGGCGGATGCCAAGTGAGTTGAAGTTTGTAAGACTCGACGGGTTCATCAAGGGTTTCCCTTTTCAGATTCCTAACTTCACGTCAACCGAGTGGGTTAAACCATGTTAACACCCTCAAGCTTATCAAGACTCCAGAAGGGTTTACCTCAAATTGAGCGCTAAGCAACCTCCTCTTCCCAAGTGATGGACGGTAGAACTTTCGGGAAATCATTTGGACTCCCCTCTGAGCAACCACCTTCGAGCTCCTCCGAATGCGCGAGATCTTTCGCGGCGGTGTAGGACCTCCAACAGCGTCACGCCATGCATGGCCTCGCGCGCGTGGGCAGCCGTGACACTGAACTGGTCCGAAGCGCATGGGAGCGCTACTTGGGCTAGCTGAGACAGGTGTTTTTCACTTAGCCCGGTGGAGCGGTGCAGCTTTCAGGGAGGTGAAGATATGGAAGACACTCCACTGGTGGAAGAAATGTCAGGAAACCCCACTGGACAAATGCGAAGAAGTTGAGGAAATTGGACTATTCTAGGTGTGCTCCCATGGCATGTTGTTTCTTGGTTTTACTTGTGGCGGAAGAATTCCCGCACCAAAACAGGCAACCACGGTGCTAATTGTTTTTTTCCTTCAACAGAAGTATGAATTGTATGGGGACTTTTACCCAAACAGCTGTCGGGTGTCAGAAAACATGCAGCACGTAAAGAAACAAACACATATTCCACAGTTGTTGTATAAGTAGTGACCACTACCATTGATGTTTCTTAAGGTCACAAGCATTTGCGAGATCTCCACGCCGAGATGTTTGAACATGAATTGGCCGTAAACAACAAGCTTGCCATCCACATGTTGTGTACCTGTACATCAACCCCATCTCCTTTCCATGATTTATCCGAAACGGTCTGATCTCTCCGCTGGGACGGGACTCCCCCTCCCACGTCCAGCTGTCCAGCTGATACCGCCGGACCGCCCGAGGCCTGGACCGCGAAGTGCTCCTGCTGGCCTCGGAGATCCACGTCGTCGCGAGCGGACTGGGCGAGGCCTGGGCAGCTCGTGCGCAGAGCATGCTGGAGATCTTGGCGTGGCTGGGTGTCAAACAGAGGACGGGGGGAGGGGGATAGGAACTTAAGGAGATGGAGGATTATGGAAAGCTGGGGAGGGGAGAAGAACAAGGAGATTCATCAGAAGAGTTCATAGGTAGATCCCGTAAGGGCTTGTAGCAATCCTGTTGCGCAAGTGGGGAGCACTTGCGCAAGCACGCGCCGCATGTTGTCGAATTCATCGGCGGTGCCAACCTCCATCCGAGTGTCCTTCGGTCTTTGTGTGTAGGGTGAGTGTGTGTGTCTGAACCCCTTCCGCTCAGCGAGTTGTTTGGTTGGTAAGCTGGAACCACCCTTGAAGGAGTGGCAGGATTCGGGGATACCATGTATAGTTCATGTTGAACACGTTTGTCAGAGATGTGGACAGGTCACAACTCGGGCTTCACCTGTCTTAGGACATTCCGCGCCACATCTGCGACACAGACATCAATGTAGCAGACCAATCAAGGCTCTCGATTCTGGACTCATGTTGAGGTTAGGGGGGTTGGAAGATATGATGCTTCATTCTTATGTCCTTCTTCATTCTTTCAGAGACGGGCATGGTCTCCAAGTTACTTTTTCTTCGGCCAAGGAACACCTGCCCTGAAGTCACCATGTTCAAATCCAGAGGTGTGGATTGGGAAATAACATAACCCAAGAGGAACATATGGCAAGCTTCCGGGGGTGCTGTTCACCACAGTAGTCCACAGTGTGGCTGATGAGTTTTGAGGCCTGTCCCAGCTCGATGCCAGAAGCTGCTACCAAGCAGCTCAGGCCAGCGATGGTTTTTCCGGTCGCGGACTGACAATGGTTCAGTAGCGATGATGCCAAAATGCATGGGTTTCTCACTTAGAATATGTGGGTGCGGGCTTTGACACTACGGCTATCTAAGGCTTATTTCACAAGTAGGTTAGCTGCTGGCACTCACGCAGTCTCCGCAATACCATGGGGTGTTGTAGGCACCCAGGCCAGGGCGTTCGATCCGATCGACATCGACACCTCGACCGCGATGCCAGGCTGGATGATGTGGTCCAATTCCACCGATGGTTCGAGCCTCCTGGTTCGAGGCGCACCATCCGATCGATGTGGTCCATCCGATCGCGCACGGGACAGTGGATTTGAAGGGATGAAGTTGGACTTCTGTAGGCCAGTGTAGTGTAGGGTACGTACTGCCCTCCATTCGTGACGCCTTAGAAGGTGCGTCACTGTAGTGAGTGTCATTGTTTCATTATGTTTCATGTAATGCTCCTTCTTCTTTGTCGATGCCAAGGCCTGGACGCCTGTCCCAATCCAGGGAGTCAATGGTCAGTCAAATCCATGGAATAACCACACGTTCGATGTGCAAGCTGCTCTCCGAGTTCCCCGTACTAGCCGCTGCAAGCTAGCCTCAAGGAGATGTGATAGATGGAGAGCTCACCCTAAAAAAGGCTGACACCTGACACCAACTCTCGAGGGCTTGTGGCTTACTGGATGTTGTTTCCCATTGCAGCATGCAAGGGATGACAGTCCTGGTCCTTAGGGTGGAGGGTAGAATTATATACTAACAGTACTCCATAAAGCCTCCCTCTGATGCCCGCTGCAAGGTCAGTTGACCCTACCTAGAAGTTCTATGCAGTTGGTAAGTGGTGGTTAATATGCCTCACCAGCTGGATGAGAAACCAACCAAGTTGATCAATGATAAGCCAACTCTTTGTGCACATCTAAGCATCCACTCCAGCGATTTTGAAAAGACACATTGCCGCACCAACGAGGTGCAACCCACTTGCTGCAGCACCATCCCAAGCGCCACCGGGTGGCACATGACTTTGCGCAGACCACAGGAGCACTCGGTACCGGCTGCCGCGAATGGCACGTGAGTTTCACTGCACAGCCCGTGCAGTGCACGGGTCACGGGTGTTGGTGGAGCATCTCCTGCAAGAGAGATGTCCTTTGGCGTTCTTCGAGTTTCAATGAAATGAGGTTACTGTATGACGATTCCAGCTGCACAAATGGAGAGTCTCAGACGATGATCCATATCCCCAAGTAGCACTTGCATGCATAATATCATCAAACGCATGTCTTCGATTGAGACCGGTCCTGTTTGCACCCCCCCAAAACCCAAACTGACGACCCTTTTGACAACGTATCGTTGTGTTTGTTGTTCGGATTCCCCATGAGTGGACCGGGCCTTGGAAGCCATCGACTCTTTCGCCGAGAGAGACGGTGTCGTCTGTTTGTTGGCGACGACCGGGCGGTAACGGTGGCTTGAGGCTTGAGCTGTGGGTGACCAGGAAAAGAACGATGAAATCCAGTTACGTACTATATGTACATGTTTGTGGTTTTGGTAGCCTACAATTGGAGTCTCGCGATACCTGCTTTGTTGTCCCATCATTCTAGGGCGCTGGAGAAGTAGGCTATGGTTATATAAAGAAGTTTAAGGAAACCACTTTCAGATTGGTGAGCCAAGACACCGCCCCTCCTGGTAGTGAAACATGCTTACCGGACCAGAATGGTTGTGTTAGTATACAAAAACAGAACATGAGCATTAAAACAGATGGGTGTTCGGCTCTGACACAAAAAGTGTTCATTTCTAGAGAGTTTTGCAGCCCTCACCCCCTTTCCTCAAGGCTTTTCACCCGCCCTTGGCTTCTCTGCCGGGCACATGAGGAGATGTCGAGGCACGAATTTGCTCTCACTCTGTGCAGCACTCAGTGGAGTTGCAGCAGGACCGCCGAACGTGCCGAAGCAGATGGGGGGATGACCCGCAACCAGAAGGTTCCGACGATGCTCCGGTGGCTTTCCCCAGTTGCTTTCGCCTGCACCAAGTAGGGCGGGCCCCTTTGATTTGAATCAAAGAGATGAGCCCTGATGCTCAGTTGTAGTTCCTGGAGGACATCATTAGCACACTACAATTAGCCTTTACTTTTGAATCCTTTGGGAAGCTTCTTCAAGACAAACTTGAATTGAAGAGCCAAAGTACCCACCATTGGTTGAGTGCTCCCCCAAAGACATACAACCCACACGCATTTCGATCGCCGTCAGAGTCAACAGTAGCTGGCTGGACCTCGTTTAGTTGGTGACACATTGTCGCCGCATGAATACTGAACTAGAATTTATAGCCAGGTTGCATGCAAACTCATGCAAGCATGGGCCTGGGTGTTTGAAGAATGAGCAAGTGACCATTGAATCGTGGCCATTTTTGGATTTATTAATCAGAGTGTTCTTATCCAGGTGATCTCCTGCGATCACATGGATGAACAAAGTGCCATCCACATCCACATGTGGGTCTTATTTTTTGAATGAACAAGATCCATCTTTTCCAACAACATCCAACCGCCCTCTGCCCTAGTGCATGTGAACACCAGATTCGAAGAAGATCCCTTTTGTTTCCAAGTCCACCGGGCAGAGAAGCGGTCCTTCGACCCTCCAGTCCGACACGAGGCGAGTCCTTCGACCCTCCGCGCGGTGCATCCGGGCGAGGCCGTCGGCGGCCCAGGAGATGGGGGGTTCCCGAGGGGGACCCTCGGGATGCCAACAGGGGGTGCTGCAAAAAAAGCACAACCAAGACACAAAAGGATCAACAAAAAGATAAAACAGATTTAACAAGATCACAACATGCCGACATGAAACCCCTAAAACCACTGTGTTGGTATGAGGAAAATGACCGAAAGAATTCTCAGGGTCCATGGGATGGTTGCAGTGGGTACAGAAAAGCAGATATAGAATAAACCCGGGAGGGAATTCTTTGTTTATCTTTGGTTCATCCAAAGGGCAAGACAACATGAACCGGGACTGGGAGATACCACAGCTAACAAGATAATCAGAATGAACTGGGTCTAGGAACAACACACATTTTTTGGATGTTTCAATCGATCAATGTTCTTTCTCCAGTTTGTATTTAGATTAGAATATGTTTGGCTTAATTTTGAAAGTGTTTATTGCTGTTGCTCGTATCTACTATAGTGGTGCTTATATACTGTTGAGACTTCAAACAAAGGAGATATCTTCAGGGTATATAACCCAATCTATGCCCAGACTTGGTCCTTGGTGCAAGCGCTTCCACCTTGGGCCTTTGAATGTTGTCTATCTCCAAGACTGGGACAGGATGCCCTCCTTCCAAGCACAATCCGAGAAACCCTTACTGTGAATTGGTCGTTTCCCCATGGCCATGGACAGGCTTGGTTCCATGGGCAGAAGTCGGGTTTCAGTTGTCCTCGTGGTCCAGTTTCAGCTTTGGGTCCCTGGAATTGCTCCAAAGCCGAGGTCCTTTGCTTCCAACGGAGCCCCGCGCAACTTGGCCTTTGTCCTTTTCGCCCCTTGAGGCAGGAGTAAAGGACCCAGGAACGGAAGAAGTGCAGAATCCTTCAAAGATCGTGGTATTTTTGGTCGTCATATGTCAAACGACCAAGGACCCCCCCCATTAGTTTGGTCCTCACTGCCTTCAAAAAACCTTTTGGCCCATTTTCCAGATCTTTGTGAAGAGATTACTTCTTAGGTTTTCTCCTCATCATAAAGAGATTTAGTCTTGGGATCTCTCTTCATGATGGCCCCTTCCCCTTCAGGGGAGTTTATCACTCATGGCTTTGCACTACTACATTTTACACGGAACAGCATGTGTTTAGACATTTTATGTGGTACAGAATACTGACATCCACCGCGTTCAATGCCGATCCACCTTCCAACGGACTGCAGACCAATTGAGTCTTTGTGACTCCATCCGCTGCCCCCAACGGATGGAGTCACGGTACTGATCCCGCCACGGAACGACGGAACCATGGGTCCGGGATGGTGCTTTTTTTTCGGTGTGGGAACATGGGAAGATGATTGCAAGGGAATGGTTGATTTTCAATCATCTACTGTACCCTCCGGAAAAACAAAGAACTGACAATAGACCCCATAGACCCCTGAAACAGGGTCTTTCCTGTCCCAAAAAAGTGGACATTGGGATTTTAGTTGACCACTTAAGCAAACAAGAACATGTCTTTATTGTTGCAAGATAATTAGTCTTGGTGCTTACATGTGCTGTAGCTGCACCACAGACTTTGGAGTAGCACAAATTGTGGTGGACCTGTTTCTTTGTGTTAGTTGGTTGCAGAGAATTGGAACCACAAAAGTAATTGCAGGGTCAAAAGAACCTTTGGGACATCCACCGTAGCTTGATGTTGGTGGGTTCTATACAAGTTTCCTTGTGAAGGTCATTCCGGCAAAGTACTTCATGTGTGTACTGTATGTATATTAACAATATATATATATACTATATCTCAAGTCTTCTCCTGCCATGTTGTTGTTCTGCAACGCACGGCCATTGCTCCATGGCCGGGCCGGCCTGCTGGGCATATATTGAACCTTGGCACCAACTTCGTCGGCCCAGGTTGAAGTGCACCTCATGGCTGACCTTGGAAAGTGAGCTGGACCTGTGGTTGATGTGAGGATCTTCCTCAGATCTCACAGACTTCTTCACTTGGTCGATATGCATATCACTGATCTCCGTCGATCTCCGTCGGTCGGAGCCAAAAGAGTTGCAAACCATCCGTCCCAGAGAGCTGCGATGTTTTGTGGTGGAGCTGGATCTTCTGTGGCGTGAAGCGCAGTTTAGGAGGAACACTGGTTTTGGTGGATAATGGATTTTAATTCTACTTCGAGAATTCAATCAAATTCCTGGAGTGACGACATTCATGTCCACATGATTAACAAAGGGTGAGTCCCCCCCCTTGAAATGCATTGAATAGACTCAATAGGACTAAGCCACCTCAAATCCCCTGCCCAAAAGTTTTTTTTCTTTTATTTTGCCGAGTATTGGCCGATTTGTGAAAAATAGACAGTTAGGAGCTGGTTTTCAGGGAAGTGACAGTGAATTAGGAGAATTTCTTTGATTTGGGATGATTTGGGATTGTGGGAATAGAGATATATTATGGGAATAGAGAGTTGGGAGTTGGTCAAAGTGAAAATGCTGGGGTTGCCAAGCCGAGTCGCCCGCATTCGATTCGACCGGGTGCCATTCAAACGGCTGTCTAAAGCATCTTAAACCAAGAGAGGTTGAGAGACCTTATGGAACCCCATGATATTGGTGTATATGGGCTTGGCACGGGATTGGCTAATATGCTATTGGGCTGTTCAACCCCTGGAGGAACCTGTTGCCCTTCTAGTTCTACTCTCTACATGAATCGACCGTGATGTCTCGGCAGGGGCTGCATTTGGCTGGTCTAAGAAGATGTGTTTGGTGTATTTATTCGGATTTCATTGATTTACTTCTCAGCCACTGTGGGAGAATCAAAATTGAATCTGTTGACCTGCTGTATTCGAAGTATGACTAAAGGAGACCAGGTCTTGTTTGTGGGACTATGTCTCACTCTGACTAATGAAGTCTAACTGTCAACAAAACAGGAGCCAGATACTGCTGAACAACTGCTTCGCCGAACACCTCCAACGTGTCTAGGCAGGGTGAAGATCCAGATCCGAGCGCCAACCGCTGGGACGAGGCCCGGCAGGCTTCAGTGACGTCCCCAACTGAGGGGGATTTCCGGCGCTGAGTGGCTGGCGTCAGTGGCGTCACAGCCTGTGTGCCCCGCCGTTCCACGGACATCAATAACAACATCAAACAATAAATTAATAGCTTCTTGTTACTAGTAGTAAGGCACCTGTTACTACTAGCGTGGCACTTGTTACTAGTAGCGATGCACTTGTTACTGCTTCAGATTCTGGTCGTAGCGAACTGATTCGCGTTTGGACACGATCCCCGCTGCCTTGGGGCCAGTCCATGAGCACCCGACGAACGAACTCGTACACAGGCTGTGCCTTTCAGCTTTCAGCCGGCCTCTTCATTTCATCCGATTTCATCGCTGGCGCGAAAATCATGGCGCGAGAAGGCTTAGATCTGCGTGGGGCTACTCGTGATGGATTGGAGGACTTCCCCCTGAATCCAGTGTAACAAGAGAGTAACTTGGCAGTACAGAATTTCTTTCATCAACACTGGATGTCAACATTGAGTCGACTGATGCTTCTGAGGTTGCCTGAAGAACCATGTGACATGGGCTTTCTGTTGAAGGACATGTCGATCGAATGCATCAAGCATCGCCGTAGGCCGTAGTTGTTGGATGAAGGTCCCGCCAGGTGCATGAGGGAACGAAGGAATCCAGGCCATGGGGAGAGGGAATCGCCCTGAAAGGACCAGAGCTCCGGGTCCAGGGAGAGACCTCCAAGTGGTGCTGATCCCTTCATACCTTTGAGCCATTTTGAGCCCACCTGGAACTCCAATAGTCGAGTAGTCAAGAGTAAATAAAGTAGTGAGTCAACAAGACAGCCCTTCGAGCCTGAACAGCCTCACAAGAGTGCAACCCTCCAAAACCAGCTGCTTGGCCGTCGACTCGCTCGCAGCTTCCACCGCTTTGCACCGCTTTCCGCCGCGAAGCCGTCACCCCGCAGCGGGCCCGTGAGTGCTTCGCTTCAGACGGGATGTGGGGAGGCCTGGAGAGGGCGAGAGGGGTATCGTGGGTCAATTCGTTGGTTGGATGATGTTGGAAGTGGCCTTCTTAAATAGAAGGGATCCAAGGGAATCGTATTTGCATGTGAGGCGCACGAGTTAGTTTTATAATTTTTTTCAAGCGATTCCACGTACCTTGTTTGCAAGTTCTGCAGGGAGAGAATATGAGTCCATTGTGTTTTGCGAACGAACAGGAAGCAGAAAGACGGAAGCATGTCCACTGCATACTGTACCATAATATACTACAATGCAACATAGATGCTTCCCGGAGCTACTGCTAGATCTGGTGATGCTTCATTTGCTACTTCGACAAACCATATTCCTCTTGTATACCCCATCAGTTGTTCCACCTAGGCACACTTCTTTGCGGAAAAATAACATGACCATCCTTTCAGAGGAACAGTTGAGCAGCCCAAGTCCACCCGTGGAGCAACACTCAATAGCAGTACTTTCAAATAGTTTCCTTTTTGGACTTCAAACTCCGGAAGTGGGGCGCCGCAAAACGAACTCCAGGGGAGTGTTGTCATGCATGTGCCACGGGGGGCAATGGGAATTCGGCTTCAGGAGGGGTTCCCCTGGAGTCATCGACCCATTCCTTGTGAAACACGAGGGGTCTCAGTCTCACTGATTTCAAACAGTGACGAAATGCGTAACTTCGGATGGCCAGTCGATTTTGGAGTCCAGACCCAGGTCATTGTCTCGCGGTCACCATGTTGTGTATGCAAAGTAATTGCCACACCTGTCGTCTCATGGATTATACAAACAGAATCAAACAGATGGATGCTGCAAAGACCGCATCGTTTGCGGGCCATGAGTCAGAGCACTCGGGAAAGTACAACATGCATCTCTGCTCTCCACATGTGTCCGTCAAGACCTGTACCACCCAAATGCCCATCTCCAAAAAGAGCTCTATTTCGATGCGTTACAAGTTGGACGATCAAAGTACAGTCCATTTGCAGTCAGACCGAGGGAAAGCAGTCCGTTGGTTGCTTTGATTCAGAATGGATTAAAACATAGCTATAAGAATCCATGTCAGTACTGACCTCAGAAAATCACAAGTCACCCCAGTCAATTGGCTCACCAAGTCGTTGGGATGTGCATCATCCCGTCCTCGGCTCGCATCACCGAGGACGGCTGAGGACAGCGAGGCCGGACCGGCGGAGCGCGGAGGATGTACGAGGGTGATCCACTTGGAGCAGGGTGGGTGGATTGCGCAATTCGGTCAGAGTGAGGAAGTCCTTCCTTTGGTAGTCTCAGACTGCTCATGGATTGTAGGGTTGACAGGGCGTGTGTTTTTTCCCAGATAAAGAACGCATGTTCCACTGGCGCAGGAACATTTGCAGTTTCTTGGTAAAAAAAGCAGTGGAGCCCCCACAGGAGGGTGCTTGACATACTTGTATGATTTGCATTAAGCTATGTCTTTTGAGTCTACCACCCTCAAAAACAATATCTGAGTAACTGCAGTTTGGCTGGTCAGATTCGGAACTTTCAGTGACTCTGATGTACCCAAGGAAAGATTCCAGATGTATCCACACAAATGGTCGGCCTACTGTTGGGATCCCAAATACCTAGCACAATGATTACTGCAACAAAGTGAAACGGGTTTGCGGGAAACTTAGTTCTCTCCTGCGCGCTTTTCGCGCGGTGAATCCCAGTTGATGCTGTTTTCTGTTTTATGTCATGACAACACCCAAGCTTTACAACGACTAAGCACATTTGTGGATGCCCACAGTGTATGTGAGGCCTAGAGAGACAGCACCCATTTAAGGCGCAAATTCAAATCGAAGTATGATGAAGTACACTCCCCGGAACTAACATGGAAGTGGAGAATGGCCCCGAAAGGAAGACCATTTTCCACTACAAACAGGTGGTTTTCCACTTCCATGTTAGTTCCAGGGAGAGTATCCTTTGTTCGTTCCATGATCTGTCACCTCCACAGCGGGAAGCCGCTGAGGTGACAGAAGCCAAAGAGGTGGAATCTCCAGTGAAGGCGCTGTTCATTCCGCCTCTGGGTCCGGTGGGGAGATCGGACCAAGTGGGGAGCGTCTTGGCTCCCAGGAAGTCGAGAAAACACCGAATTCGCTGGGTCTACCCCTGGAACGAGCGTCTTGGCTCTCCTGGAACGAGCTGAGAGAATCTGGGAGAGATGTCCAGCTCGCTGGCGAGATATTCATCCAGCTCGCTGGGTCGAAAAGAACATGTGTTTGGGCAATGTGAAGAGGCATTGTGGCTTTCGACATGCATCTTCATGTGCTGTGGTATTGCACTCTTCTCACCAGCGCGCTTTTGGGTTTATGGTAATCTGCTGGACTGGACCAGCATTACCTGACTCTGACTCTGTCTGTGTGATGTATATCATGTATCCTGTATCCTCCTTATCAGGGACCTGCCACCGCCAGGAGCCAAAAGAGTCAAAGGAGGCGCGACCGTCATCGCGTCATCGTCACCTCGGATCCGGTGCAGAACTCGCATCATCGCAAAGAGTGCCGATGGCAGACATCGAGCTACAACAATACATCAAAATAACTTAAGTCACAAGGGGCACTTGGAGCTTTGTTGCGCAATGTTTTCCCCCAAATGGAATGACATGGGGTTTGCCGCCGGCCGTTGTGTTGTTGTTCTCGAACAGCGGGATGGTTTGCTGCATTGTTTTTTGCTCGATTTATACCTGCACCTTCAAGGATAAAAATAATTGTGCATTCAGAAATTCATTCCTGCACTACACGTCTTTCAGAAAAAAGGCACAAAAGTCGATTTGAAATGCGATTTTCTGATTGTAGCCATTTTGGCTGTACTGGGTGGATTCCTCCCGCTTCCAAAGCCTGTCATACGCAGCTATGTCAGAAGTAGTGAGATACCTTCTTGGGTCGAAGGGTGTGTCAATCTCAGCGGAATGGCGCCCGCTGCTCTCTCAAGAGATGTAGAGCTTATCAAACCAGCAGGGCTTCA